GAGAGAGAGAGAGAGAGAGAGAGAGAGAGAGAGAGAGAGAGAGAGAAAATGTACTCTTAAAAATATATCTATAAAAGAAGTGTTTGAACGGTGCTCATCGAAAATCGAAGCAAAATCTATTTGAAATCATCCAATTAAATGAAATCCATTTAAATTATGTAACAATTTATATCTTATTTTTATATCGTAGATTTATATCGTAGTTTTTTTTAATATTACTATATTTTTTCTACAAAATTCTACAAATTGTCTTCTCTCTTCTCTCTCCCTCATCTCATTAATCAATACTAGGTCAGTCAAGAAGTCCAGCTTGATTTTTTATTTAAAATTGATTTTGTCATGTTAAAACAAATTATTCATTAAATAAATATTTATGAAATAGTTAGAATCTTGCATCAACATTTCGGTAGCGTAATACTATTAATAGTATTGTCTATGTTGTATGTATACTTGGTTTCAGAATGATTTGAACGTTTTTCCAATGCAGATTGAAACCTAGCCGTAGGTCCAATAACAAAACTTAATTTCTAGGAATTAATCAAAAACAAATTTTCTTTTTAGACTATCGACTGCGTTCTAAACTGCATTGAGAAAAATGTATTAAAGCCATTTGGAAATCAAATGCACGTGATGCCTATCAAAAATTGATCAGTTTTTTTTTTAACCGACAACACTAGAAGGACTAAGGTAGCCAATTTGGCTCCTCGCGAAATTCATTTTTTCTCTGTCATGTAATAATCTTTTGTGACTTTTCATTATATTTTTAATTTTGATAAAAAAGAATTGAATTAACATAAGATGGTGTGTTGAATTTTTATTTAATTGTCTACCTAGAAGGACCGTTGGAGCCAATTTCCCTTATTTTTAATATTGCATTCAAATATGTTTCTCGATTTTATTAACAAGTTTTATAATTTTAAATAAATAAATAAATTTTTATACATATGTATCTATATATATAATAAATTTTTATACATATATATTTATTTGTTTAATTAAAAAATAATTATATATATGTGAATGCAATATCAGAAATAAAGGAGCCAAATTGGTTCTAACAGTCCTTCTAGGTAGACAATTAAATAAAAATTCAACCACCATCTTACATAATTAAATTTTGTTTTGTCAAAATTAAGAATATGATGAATAGTCACAAGAGCTTATCACATGAAAGAGAAATTGAAAAAAGTTATAGTTGTTTGAATTTTGCGAGGAGCTAAATTAGCTACCTTGGTTCTTCTAGTGTTAATGCTACACGTGTGATGTTTCTCTCAATGTAAATAAGCGTATGCTTGGTTACAAAAAGTTTAGACGCAATGAAGTAAAGTGTTAATTAAATTATTATTATGATTGTGAACTACTACTGATTGATTTGCGCAGTCCAACTAGAAATTTTCATCAGATATGCCTGATAAACTGAATAAGGAAATCATTAGAATTTGAATGGAAGAATTTCTTACGGGGAAGCACACACACATACACACACATACACACACACACATACCCCCCCCCACACACACATACTATAAAATAAAAATACCACACACTTATATTGAAATGTTAGATTTTTATAATTATAAAACAAAATAAGTCTTTTTATTATTTACACAACATAATATTTTTCTCTGCACAGAGAAAAAGTTTTGTTTATATTTAGTATTTTTATTTGTTTAACTAATTTGTTTCAACAAAACAATATATTTTGGTACAAAATATTATTTTTTCTAATAGAGGAAAAAATTTGTATGGAAAACTATGTTGTTTCGTTGCAAAAAACAATGTTATTTGATAAAAAAGTACTGTTGTTTAAAATATAATTTATATAAAATATAATTATTATATAATAATTTTTTTTATAAAGGTTTTAGATTAAATAATCTAATTTCTTTAACTTTAATTTCTTGGATTTCCTTGAATTTGTTTTAAACTAATTTATTCTTTGGATTACTTATTATATTTGATTAAAAACACTCCAACCAAGGATAAAGTCTCTAATATACATTACATTGTATATTGACTATTGTTACATTGTTTCCAATGTCTGCTAGTATATGTTATTACAATATTTTGCGAACATTACAAGAATACCTAATATAAAGTTGAGTAACAAGAATACTAATAAAGCTATTGAGATAGATATCCGCTGTTTAATCTTCGAAATCCAGCAATCAGTTTAGGAGATAGAATGATGGCCGCGATCTGAGATTGCTGCTCGAAGTCAAACTATGGAAAGATACGATCATAGAAAGTGTGACAAGTCGTCAATTTTTTTTTACCAAACATTATATTTGTTATCGTTCATTCAATAGTTATATATGTTTAAGTTCAACAAAATGTATTAAATTTCAAAAGAAATATTTTTTCCTGTGTATATAAGATCTGCCAAGAATTTGATGAGGTAAGGTTCTAGTTGCTGCGTAGTGCTATATGACTTCTTAGGACCTAATAATAATACATTATCTTTTAGATTTAATAACCAATCTGATCAGGACTATGGGATAAATTTTAACTGGGAGTAGTCGCAATTGTAATGGAAGTCAAAGTGACAGCATATGAAACATCCGATGTCACGATTGCAATGAAAAATTAAAAAAAAACGTATTTTGGTAAATGTTCACTTTAGGGGAGTCACCTTTGATGACCTTGATCTTGACATATTTTATTGAGGTCTTCCTGAGTAACTTTCAGAAGGTTTTAGCCGTCGCTCATTGTTTGTTAAAAAGTTATTAACAAAAAATGTTTTAGAAATTGACCGTAATTTTTGCACACAGTGTACATAAAGTAAAGTGTACATAAGGTAAACAATGCATAGGACAAATAAATTATATTGAAAAAATTATTTATTTAATATTTATAATAAATTTATTCAGTAAAATTTCCGCTAAGTGCATAGAAATGAGCCATAATTTCAAAAAAATTATCAATTCGATCTTCATAATGATATTTTCGTTTAAACAAAAATTCAGCTAAATAATGCGCATAATGATTTTCATTACTACCAAAACGAGGTATTCCATTACGTATATTACCATAATCTTTCGATGTTTTGAGTATAAACTCTAGTAACCCGATCGACAAAATTGCGAGAATGATTTACAGTTTGATGTAAATAATTTTCTTTACATAAAGCGTCGTAAGCACGCCAACAATCACTGTATATTATACTTCCCGATGCAATATAACGACGAATGATTGGTATTAATGCAGCTAATGTTCTGTCTGGTACTGACACCACAAATAACCGATCATTGTGTCTTTCCACACCTCCAAATAACCATTGTCCAGTAATTAATCTTCCTTTATGATATTTTCGACGTCCGAATTTTGCTTCGTCTATTTCCACAATTATCCCTGGACCGCTTAATGGTTTGCTATTATCAGTTACCCACTGATTTAGTAACTAAAATGTGAATAACTTATTAATTGGACAAATTATTTTAAGTAAATTAATAATACTAACTTCACGACAAAAATTAACCCAATCCACAGCAACGGATCTTGATATTTGAATTTTCGTTTCCAATAGTTTCTGTCGTGGTGAATTCATCATTAAAAAATAAGAAATAATACGACATATTTTTATTAGATCTAAATGCGCCTTTGCAAACCACGTTTCTGTTATTGCACTTAACTTAAAATTGCAAGTCTTTCTTTGCCGTTTTCGTCCACGAATTTGTTTATAATACATATTGGTGCAATGCATTATAAGTGATTCTTCTGGTTTTAAACGAATTTTGTCACATCGTGGACATAACATATTTTTTCGGAGCACTTTTTTCGCATTTAAGTAATTTACTAAGTCTTCATAATTATATGTTAAATGAATAAACTCATGAAACAGCATGATGAAAATATCTTACTTTAGCTAAGTTCCACGATACACTGGTAATGTATGTTGGGACATGATCATAACATAACACATACAATGGTAGTGTGTGTCAGGACATGATCATAACATGATTATCAACATAGAAATCGTACGATCAAAACAAAACCCGCGCAATATACCCTGTATGCAAAAATTACGTTAAACTTTTTTTTAGTAAATACTGCAATCTCGAACGACTAGCGGCGGGCTGCGCCCCCCGCATCC